TCAAATTTTTCTGCTTTGCTTTCCGCTTCAGATTATCATAATAAACTTGGCAAAAAGCCCCTATTAATATTCATGCCACCGCCTGAATGTCACGCTGCCTGGCAGTTTCTTCTGCTAGACTAAGGAGTCCATTGCTTGTCAACTCAGCCCCACAGAGAGTCCTGGGACAGGGCAAAATGCAGACAGCTTCTCAGTCAGAACATAATGAATGGCCTCTGGTCCACTTTCCCGTAGAGTCCTCCTCCCCTGAGACCTCGTGAGCCCTGTCACAGCCTCCTTGTCATCTGGTCTCTGAACGCCACCCACCAGAATTGCCCGTTCAGCAATTACCACAACCTACAGATTTTCCAGCTTGTCACTTTAAACTTTCCAAAAACTTCCTCCCACAATTTCCAAAAAGCTCCCCAAGCTTCTGAACCACATGGTCAGGTTTGTCACAGTAATGACCCCACCTCTCCCTACCAATTTCTGCTTTATTCAGTTTTTTCATTGCTATGATTAAAAAAAAACAAGAACAATTTTCGAGGGGGGTGAAATTTATTTGGGGGCTCATGGTTTCAGAAGTCTTGGTCCATAGACAGCCAGCTCCATTCCTTGGGGCTCGAGGTGAGACAGGACATCATGGCAGAAGAATGTGGAGGAGGAGAGCACCTGAGAACAGGGAACCAGGAAGCAGAGAGAGAGCTCTGCTCAACAGGAACAGAATAAATAGCCCAAAGCACATCCCCAGGGACCTGCCTCCTCATGCACACCTTACCTGCCTATAGTTACCACCCGGTTATCCCTGCCAGGGGATTAATGCACTGATTAGTGCATTCATTAGTGCATTAGTGCATTAATGACCTTTGTTGCATTGGCTCATACATGAACTTTGGTGGAACGCCTCACATCTAAACCATGGCAGATATAAAACTATAAAATATAGCTATGGTATCTTGGGACGCTTTACAGATTATGGATGTTCATAATGCCTGAACGTGTTACTTTCATAACAAGACGTGATAAAGCTTCACTAAAATGTGCTCTTGGGGTTGGAGTTGTGGCTTAGTGGTAGAGCACTTGCCTAGCGAGTATGAGGCACTGGGTTTGATTCTCAGCACCACATATAAATAAATAAATAGATAAATAAATAAATAAGATCCATCAACAACTAAAAAAAAATTTTTAAAAAATACATGCTCTTGAAGAGAACAACAACAACAAAAAAGTCAACACTATTTATTGAGCACATACAGTATGCTGGGCTCTGTGCCCCTTCGCTTCATCCACACGATTCCTCCCAGCAGCAGTGCTTGGGTGACATCACCTAGTCTCCCATGCAGCAGGCATTACAGTGTCCGGCCTCCACAGAAGGTGGCTGAAGAAGTGGCTTGTGGTCCTTCTCAGAGCCCACTTGGGTTAGTCAGCTTTTTGTTGCTGTGACCAAAATACTTGCAAGAACAACTTAGAGGAGGAAAAGTCTATTTGGGCTCACATTCCAGAGGTCTCGGTTTGTGATTGGTTGACTCGATTGCCCAGGGCCTGGGTCAGGCGGAACTTCATGGAGGGAGGGTGTGGAGGAAGAGAGCAGCTCAGTTCATGGCTGATAGGAAGGGGGACGGGAGAGAAGGAGGAAGGAGCCAGGGGACAGATATAATGCAGGCCATAATCCCCAGTGACCTACTTCCTCCAACCACACCCCACCTGCCTACAGTAACCACCCAGTAGCCCTTTCAAAGGATTAAGCCATCCAAGGGCTTAATCCGCTGATGGGCTTCCAGCCCTCACAGTACAGTGTTTTCACCCCTGAACATTTTTTCATTGCCTAATGCCTGAGCTTTTGAGGGACCCTTCAAGATTCAAACCCTAATGCTGTGTATTATTATTGCTAAAGAATTTTTATCCAAATCCAGAATGATTTCATCCTGGGGCCTGCATCACATGACTTGATCAGAGCCAGGAAGAGCATCAGAATGACCTGGAAGGCTCCTTTAAACCCAGATTCCTGCAGAGTCTCTGCTCTGGTATATCTAGAGCGGAGCCTGAGAGTTTTGCATTTTCACCAGCTTTCCCAGCAACAGTGATGCTGCTGATTCAGGCTTTGGTAGGCGTTCTCCAGAGAAACAGAACCAGTAGTGTGTGTGTGAGTGTGTGTGTGTGTGTGTGTGTGTAGGCACGCACGCACACACTCCTGAGAAGCATTTCAGTCAACAACAAACTGCATGTACTGTGGCGGTCCCGTGAGATGGTATCACCTGGGGACAGGCCATCTCAGTCTGTGTAAGTACACTCTGCGATATTTGCACGGTGATGAAATTGCCTGACTCACTTCTCAGAAGCACCCTTGTCAGTAGGTGACGTGTGGGTATCATGAAGCATTGGCTGCGGAAGCCATGTGAGCTTTCTACCTCTGTGACAAAATACCTGCAATAATCAACTTTCTTAAAAGTGGGAAAGAGTGTTTGTTTCAGAGGTTTTGGTCCATGCTCTCTTTGGGACGGTGGTGGCACAGTATGTCGTGGCAGCAGGAGCAGTGGGAGAGGTGGCCCGTTCACCTCATGGTGGCCAAGAAGCCAAGAGGAGACAGGAAGTGTTGGGGCCCCAATATCCCCTCGTCGGCGTGCCCCCCAATGACCTAACTTCCTTCCATTGGTCTCCGCCTCCTTCCTTCCATTGGTCTCCTAAAGGTTTGGCCTCCTCCCAGTCATGCCCCAAGCTGATGACCAAGCCCTCAACTCGTGGCCTTTGGAAGCTTTCCAGATCCAAACTATGGTGGAGGCTGAGCCCCACGGTCCGCTTCTGCAAATGGGAGACCCAGAAAGCCAGGGGTGTAGTTCAGTCTGAGTCCAGAGGCCTGAGGACCAGGGGGCTGCTGGTGTCAGTATATCCAAGGGCTGGGGGTGAGGCCAGATGCCATGTTCCCACTCAGGCCAGAAGCAAGAGGGGCCAGTGCCTCCTTCCTCCTCCTTTTGTTCTATTTGGCACCTCAACTAATTGAATGGAGCCTCTCAGGTGGGCGACAGCAGCCTGCGTTATCTCTCCAGCATTTACAAACACCCTCCAGACACACCAGAAACCATGCTTCATCCGGGCACCCATGGCCAGTCAAGTTTATACCAAAATTAACAGCAATTCAGACCCCAACTCTGAGGACACCAAGTCAGAGGCACTAGGCAGGTGTCAGGACTCGTGATGTGCACGTGTGTCTGTGTGAGGCCTGCTTCCTCCCTGAGTGCCTTACTATGTTCGGGGCTGTGGATGGGACTTGGCCCTCATTCTCCTACCTTGGCACAGGGAAAGGAGTCCTGGAAATGAAGTAAGGTACAAGTAACTGTGAGTGCTGGGACGTAGTTTGAGAAATGGAAACCCTAAGACATGGGGGATGCTGCCACTGGGGGTGATCAGGAAGGCAGTCCCAGGTGGTTGAATTGAGCCCATGGGAGGGGGTCATATGTGTTCATTGGGGGAGGGGGCTGCAGCAATGGCAAGGGTTCCTATAAACCCCAAGGGTTACAGGGAGTATAAAATTTCCTTAAGCCTTGGGGCATGGACTACTACATCCTGTTTGGAATGATACCTCTGGCTTATTCCAGGAGCAAGACATTTTTGACATGTGCTGTGTGAGTGTGTGTGTGTGTGTGTGTGTGTGTGCACAAGCATGGGTATGAGAGGGAGAATCTGAGAAATTAGCTCTTTTCCTCTTTGTCTTGGCAGTTTTCAGGAGCTCTTAAATGCCGCAGTCCGGCTGCAGCAAAATAACCGGGGGGTGACGAACAACTTGTGTAGATTGATAGAGCAGGAGTGGAAGCCGTTTATTGTAGGACAACAGAGGTATTTATACATTCCACACAGCTTATCTTAATTAGCATAAACTAGATACATCAGTCAACCAATAAGAAATCTCCACACTTAATGGCTCGCTGGTGTTACTTCACAAACCACTCCCTCTGGCAAAATGCCAGGTGCCATCCTGACTTGTTTACAGACTCTAACACTTAAAATCAAATAATTTCAGTTTGAATCTTTATCATTTTTTATCTATGAAATGGATTTTATAATAGTAGCTATCTCTGTGGGCGGTTTTCTTAGTCTGTTCAGGCTGCTACAACAAAACACTACAGACTAGGTAGATTGTTAACCACAGAAGTGCATTTCTCACAGTTCTGGAGGCTGGAAGTCCAACATCAAGGTGCAGGCAGAGTCTATGCGGGCCTGTGGTGCCTCCTTGCTGTGCCTCGCTTGGTGAAAGGGGTTCGGGGCTTTTCTGCAGCCTCTTTCACAAAGGCACTAATCCCATGCCTAAGGGGCTCCACCCTCACGATCCTGTCACCTCCCAAAAGTCCCACCTCCAAATACCTTGACCTTGGGGTTAGGATTTCAACCTGTGATTTGGGGGAGACACAAACCACACATTAAAGGTGTTACTTCCACCTAAAGTGTCCATTCTCACACCCAGCATGTAGTCGGAGGTTACCAAACGCCTGCTCTGGTGCAATGATCATTGTCATCCCTTGCCTGCCCCTCGAACAGATCCCTTCTACTTTTCCAATTATTTTTCTTCCTCCATTACTTGGGTTTCTGTAAGAAATCTAGTATCTTATGGAAGCATCTAAGGACTGCTGTTTCCTTTGCCTGGCACCTGGTGGGCACCTCAGCGCTTAGCAGACAAGGTTGGGGAAGCAGCCTTGGACGTGGGGAGGTGGATTTGATCTTTGGTTTCTCCCCCACTTCCTCGGTCCTCCGTCCTAACCATTGACGGCATTGACAGCATGGCCCTGCTCCAGGTGTCTGTGTTGTCTTGGGGGCATTTAAACGGGATAAATCCTGTCCTGACTTAAACAAAGCGTTAGTTCCAGGGGACAGGAGCTGGGTCTTCACCTCTGGTGGCCCCGCTGGGCCTTGCAGATGTCTGGTCCTGTCCCATCCCAGGTGCTGCGTAGGCACATGCCCTCCACTGCACGTGGCTGGGGGCAGATGCAGCAAGCTGTCACCTCTCACCCTCCCTCCTCCCTCCTCTCCAGGGACAGGAGCTGACCATCCGCCAGATCTCCCTCCTGGGCTTCCGAGACCTGGTCCTGCTGAAGGTGAAGCTGGGCGACTTGCTGCTGCTGGGGCCGCCATCCAAGCTGCCCTCCTCCATCATCCAGATGCTGCTCATCCTGCAGGTGGGGCCCCGAGGGAGGCCAAGGGAGGAGACAGCCACTGTGGGACTAACAGGAAGGGACCAAGTGACCAAGCACCTGAGCTTAGTTGAGAATTCTTTTGAGCTCGTTTGGCCACGTCCCTGAGTTCATTTGTTGATGTGCATTCACAGGGTCCCTGCTAGGTCCCTGGTCCTGTGCTCACTGCCGGAATTGTAGAGGGGCATGAAAAGAAGCGTGGTCCTTCATTCAGGAAGTGGACACTCCCCAGTTATGTCAGGGAGCTGTGGGTTGCAGGGGACAACAAGGAATCCATTTTTGCCTCGCACAAGCCAGACCAGGTCCTCAACGGAAGGCTCACAAGGCAGATGGGTTTTGTGACAAGGTGACACTGGTCAAGTTGCAAAGCCACCAGCGTTTCTTCACTTCCTGGCCTCTAGTTGTACCTGGTCTGCGTGTTTCTCTCTGATGCTCCCTGGCCTTGCACGGACTCTCTTGGTCTTTCTCGATCCGTGGGGTCGCGTCCAGTGCTTTGGTTCCCGCCTGATCCATGTGGCAGGCCGAAGTAAGGGACTAACCACCCAGATGGCGGCCCTGTCTTTTGATCCCAACCCTCAAGTCAGTAACAGGACAGTGAGCCAACACTGTTGGTCCCTGGTGTTTGCAGCCTCAGGCCAAGGAATCAACCACCTCGGGAGGTTGGCATTGTGTGTCACTCCCATCACAGACCAGGAAACTGAGACCTAGGAAGTTCACCAACATTCTATTACCCCAGCTAGTAAGGGGTAATAAAATTGAGAACTGTGCACCCTGGTTCCTCTCCAAAGGAAAGAATCTGATGGGCTGGCCTTGGGCTAAGTGAGTCCTCTTTGCCTAGCGGACTTTGACCTTGAGTGGGATCAAGTAGTCCAAACCTGGCCTCAGCAAGCCCATTCCTGTGTTGGGCACACTGTTTTCCCAGAGCAGTGCTGCTCTCCCAGGTTCCATCCTCCATCAGGCTGAAGGGGACCCTAGGCTGCCCTCATAGCAGGCATGGAGCATCCAGCCAGGGGCCTCCGACCTGCCTCCCCCAGCTGCTGTTCTCTTTCCCTTCTCTAAGCTGGAACATCCTTCTGGGTGTTGTCCCCTTCCCTGTAATCCCAGAGGAGGAAGGGCTGCCAATAGGAAGAGGGAGAGTGGAGTTGGCTGGAATGCAGGTGTGCAGCTCCCACCTGATTGAACTTGGCCTCTGCATAAGGAGTGAGCAGGACCTTTGTGCCCACTGTTCCCTCTGCCCACAGCACTCTGTCTTCTGGGACCCACAAGCCCCCTTCCATCAAGGCAGATCCTTGGGCTTCCGTCTCACCCTGTGTCCCAGCACCCAGCCCAGTCTTTGGCACATAGTAGGTATTAATTAAACACTGTTCACTGAGTGGTAGCACCAACTAGCAAGAGCCTGAGTGAGACTGACCCCGGGTCCCCGGCCCCGAAGATTACGATGGCTTGTGACCATCACACAGGGCTGAGAGAAGTGTGGCTGGAGCAGGTCCAGGGTCTCGGCAGTTTTCTGGAGAGCTGGGCGAGGAAATGGTCCCTCCTGTGACTACCCACCCCATTGTTTGTTCCGTTTCAAGCAGAGAGGGAGGATGAGAGAAGCTGGCTCAGGGACTCAGGACCACATACTAATTTGTAGCCAGCTGACTGCTCAGCAGCTCCCGGGACCCTGCTTTCTGCCTTCGTCCTGCAGCACCCCCTCCATGCTCTGAACCCCCTCAGCACCACCCTTCAGTTCCCTTAGGGCTTCCTGGAGTAGCTTACTCAGGAGCCATGGGGCAGGGATGGTGACTGAAAGCAGGCCTTTCCCTCCTCCTGAGCAGCAGCCTGGGTCTGAGTGGCACTTCAGGTGGCGCTGCCCTGGGGCCGTTCCTGTTGCAGGAACCCTGGGTCTCTGCACTTAGAATTGTCATTCTCTCCACGGACCCCTACTTTCCCCAGGGTCATGAGGCCTGGGGCTGATTTTTCCAAAGCCACCTGACTGCTAGGAAAAAGAGCCCTTTCCCAGACTTCAACTCTCCCTTTTCCAAAATATTTTGGAGCCAACCCTTCCCCTCCTTCAATACACAGGGTGTTCTGCCAGCCGAGGGGTCTGTGCTCAGGCTGGCCTGGTCAGTGGCGGAACCAGAGACTTTAGCTATGTGCTGGACCCTGGAGGCCCTCCATGCCGGGCAGGGTGTGTGACCTGTGCTTCGAGGACCCTGCGCCTGGCTCCATTGTCTCCCATCACCCACTCGGCATTCGTGATAGCTTTTGGAGGAAGGGACCTTTATCTTCCCTTTGCTCTGAGTGACAAAAGGGTCACAGCCAGTCTGCTGACCAACGGAGGGAGGGCAGAGAGCGGCACCCTGGCAGAGGGCACCTGCCAGCCCAGCTCTCGAGGCTGTGTTCCTGGGAGAACCAGCCGCCAGCTCCGCGTCACGTGCTCCTGGCCCACTCCCTCCCACCTGTAGGCCTCTCATTTTCCTGTCACCTCTCCCCAGTTAGTGCTCAGGAATTCTAGGGGGGAAGGGGCCGTGGATGAACCCAGATGAGAACTGTCAAGGACAAAACAAGAGAGAGAGAATGGGAAAGTTTCCTGGGCTCTGAGGCCCAGTCAAGGTGGTTTTGTGGCTGAAACCGCTCGGCTCTTGAGGCCTGGTGTGGTTCCTGGGGCGCCTGAGCAGGGCTCCCCTTTTCCTTCTGCTGCCTCAAGGCCTCCCTCCACCTGGGGCGGCTGTGTCTCCCTGAGCTGAGCAGCTCATTTGCTTTTTCTGTTCATTTCCACTGTTGAGTCTCCGGGGGCTTCTGTCTAGTATGGGTGGATTGGAGCAGAGGGTGTAGAGCACCCTGGCTGCCAGGACCGGTGTGTGTCAGGCCCACCTATTTTTTCTGCATCTCCTCTCTCCAGACCCCTTCCCAGCCCCAACCTCCAAATCCTCTGCCCCTCCCCAACTTCCTTCTATTTTCTTAAGCAGCCCCTGCCTGAACCACTCGCAACTCCCCGCCACACACACACACACACACATACCCCATCTCTGTGGGATGCAGGTGAGAAGGGCCAGGACCCGCGGTTTTCTGGAAGGACCCCTGGCCTATAGGAGTTGGCTCTTCCTGCCTGGTTGCCTGGCCATCTTCTTACATTTAAGTGAAAGTAATTGAAAATCTGTTTTGAGAATTTGACATGATAAACTTTCAGGCTGAGCACAGCCCCCCAAAACCTGGCTTCTTCCTGCTTAGGACCCTGTACCTTGCTAGGCGGCCTCTACTTCCTCCCAGTCCCTCCACAGGAGAGCGTGCCTCCACCTCCTTTGCAGGGAGAAGCTGAGTTCCCAAGGAGTTCGCTGGGCTTCTAGAAAGCGCTGGTTACAGGCTTCTCTGTGGGTTTGGCCCTTGGAGTTATTAGGGTTGGTGTTTATTCGGGGTTTGATTGTGAGGACTCCTGAGCTGCCGGGCTTTTGAACAGGCTCATCCTCTTGCTGCAAAACGTCTGCCTGCTTCTAGAACCACTCTCCCTTTCTTGTGCTATTCTGGACTTTTCCATATTCTTTTCCCCTTTTTTAGCCTGTTAATAAGTGATAGTAGGATAGGCTCAGAGACAGATAGCCTGGGCTCTGGCTTGGGCTTTATCCACCAGCTGTGCTTGGCTAGGCAACTGACTTCAGCTCTCTGGGTCTGTAGAAGGGAGTTGACGGGGGCACCTCCCCTGTGGTTGTCAGGAGGCCTCTGCATTAATACATGTGAAGCGCTTATATAAAATGCACGTGCGCTGTAGGCAAACTGGTCACACCATTGTGGGTGGGGTTATCGTGGGACCAGTGAGACTTTGGCCTTGGAGCTGGAGCTGGGTCTGTCCCACCCATGCTGCCTTGGAAGGGCCCCCTAGGAGAGGCCACCATGTATTCACCAGGTGCTGTTCTGACCCCTGTGATCGAGACAAGTGATGAGGGCGCCAGGCCTCAGTTTCCTTTATTCTAATCTCTAGAAGGTGCCTGCTGGCCACACTGCCTGTGCACAGCAGGAGGGCAGGAGGGATGCGTTGACACGCGTCCACTGGCCAGTTTTCACTGACTGACTGATGTTCTTTCCAGAGTGTTCACGAGCCCACTGGTCCAAGTGAGGGTTATCTGCAGCTGGAGGAGCTGGTGAAGCAAGTGGTTTCTCCTTTCCTGGGCATCAGTGGGGACCGAAGCTTCTCAGGACCCACGTACTCACTGGGTAAGGGGCACAACTGCCACATTGCCAGGGGCCCGGGCAGTACAGATGCCAGTTACCTTGTACCGAGCACTGACTGCATGCTGAGCACTTTGCTTTCAGTGTGGGTCAGTGCAAACCTGTGTATCTTAATCTCTCATGTCCCCAGCCTGGGTGGCAGTGACCTCCCCCGGGGTGATTCCTCCCCAAGGACTGAGCCCAGCCTCCTCCGTGGTGGAGCCTGTCTGATCCACACCTTTGATCAGTGACTTTGATCTTTTTCATGACACAAAAAAAAGACATTTATGTCTCTATCGGATGTCAGAAACCCTGCCTTATTCCACCCTCCCAGGCTTGAGTGGAAAACCCACTGATGAAAGCACTCAGATGTGGAGCCAGATTGTCACATGCATAGCCAGGTGCTCTGGAGCTGCTGTCCCCTGCTCTGTTTCTGTAAGCACTACCAGGCCTGCACTGCAAGGAAAGGGGTTCCTGGGTGTGGATACAAATCCTGGCTATTGATGGCTCTGAAGCTGTATCGGCATCAGGCTCTGTACTAGGTCCTTTGAAGAACTTAGAGATGAATCAGGTCTGTTCCTTCTCAGACCACAGTCTAGATGGTCTCAGTAGAAATTGCTGAGTAATAGAATCTCAAGTAGCTCTCAGTGAAACCACAGTCGTGGTAGGAACAGCTCTGTGATAGGAATTGTAATAAAAGACATTCCTCAGCGACTGCCTGAAATGCAAACCCTTAAAATGCAGGAACTTGTTCAGTGTTCTGTCCCAGCAACTGGAATGGTGACTGGCTGTACCGAAGCCCAGGCACTTGGCACCCACAGAGAGGTGTGGAACAGGAAGCAGTACCTGCATCTGGAAACTGTTGCCCCTCTTTTCGTGGAAATGGAGTTGTAGCTGAGCTTCAAAGCCAAGGCGAAGTGCAGAGAGGCTCCTGCCTTTCCTGGGCCTCCCAACTGCAGAAAAAGGCAGAGCCTTTCACCGGCAGTTTTCCCAGCCCTGGTTGTGTTTCTCTGGAGACACCAGCTTAACCACAGACACCACAGATAGGAGGGTGCCGGCCCAGCCTGCTGCTGCCAGGTCCCCCCCCCACACACACTCCTCTCACTCCACCCAGGAGCTGGAAATGACACAAAGGGAGACTCGCCTGCCCTCTCCAGCCCTGAGCCGGGCATGCTATTGCTGCGGTCTCCCTGGAACCCCCTTCCCGCTACTGGCTTGGCTCATGGAGTTTGGTGGGGGGAGTGTGGGGAGGTCCCAGGGAGATGTCAGGACACCACCAGATTAGCTGGGCCCTGACCACTATCTGGGCCAAATGCCAGAACAGGGAGAGAAAAAAAAGTCATTTTTCTTTAACTCTCCTACGTTCTTAGTTGGAAGAGACTCCTAGATCATATTAACAGAGAGAAAGAAAAAAAAAAAAGGAATTTCTTAACATATATATTTTATATATACATAGAAGACACCCGGGGAGCAAGTAGCTTTCAAATAGGCAGCTTTGAATCCTGGCTGTCACAGCATCTTCAGTGAAGAACGGGGACTTTTTAGAGAGGTGACAAGACAAAGGGAAATGAGTCTCTAAGGGCAGCACCTTGTGGGAAGCGAGTGAGTGGTGGCTAAGGGCCGGCTGGGAAAGCCTGAGAGTGCAGACCCCGTCATCCCCGGATGGCAAGGTGTGAAGTCGTCTGCGGTGCTACCTTTGACTTTGGAGTCTGTGTCCTGCTTTCAGCCCACTGGACTGGGTGGGTGGAGTAGATTTGGAAGTGTATTCTGTGGGGACTCAATCTACAGTCAGAATAATATCCATTTTGTCAAATTATAAGGCCGAGCTGGAGCTGGGCACCGTGGTGCACACCTGCAACTACACGGGAGGTTGAGGTGGGAGGATCTCAAGTTCAATACCAGCCTCAGTAACTTAGTGAGACACTGACTCAAAATAAAAGGCCTGGGGATGTGGCTCAGTGATGAAGCATCTCTTGAGTTCTATCCTCAGTACCCACCCCCCCCCCCAAAAAAATAAAAAAACCCCACAACAACAACAACAAAAAACCCAAAACCCAACAACAAAAAAAATATGTATCAGTTGGTGGTATGAGCCTTTACTGTACCAAGGACAGTGGCGCCCTGTGACCCTAACCCAGGCACCTTGCATGGTGCTGCAGGTGCATCTGTGAACAAATAGGGCCCATCCTGCCCTGTAGGGAGGAAGTCAAACAAGGCACAGGGGCCTCCGAAACCTCAGCAGGAGCTTCCCCACATGTCGAAGTTTGAACTTAGAGAAACATGCGCAAGCATATAAAGCAGGCTTTATTTAAAAAGGGGTAGCATGAACTTCTCCCAGGAGGGAGAAGGGGGCCACAGCTGGTATCCTGGTATCCCGAGAAGCAAGGTGTTCTGCCTTTTTATATGTCCCAGGCTTCCTTTGTCCTCCTGCCTTTCCCCCCTTATCTTTCTCCTTCTTGCGTTTGTGACTAGGCCCAGGGTGGGAACCAGGTGGGCTGAAGGGGGAAGGGCAGGATGGAGCAGCCAAGGACACATTATTAACCTTATAGTCCTCTGTAGGAGGGACAATTCCTGGGACAGGTTACCTCAGCAACAGGTTGGTGCAGGGGCATGTTCTTAATCAGGGTGGAGGAAGGGCTCTGAAGGAATTCACATTTCAGTCCCCAGGGGACAGTCTCCAACTTCCAGGACCCATCAAAATTGGCCTCCTTGATCCAACCTGACTCGATTTACCTATCTATGCTGACTGCCTGTCTAGTTCTGGCTTCAGCAATGTCTGTGATGGGAGCCAGACATGGCTGGAATAGGAGTTAGGTGAGGAAACAGGGAGAGAAGCCAGCACCAGGCAGAGGGGTAGACCTCTGGGAGAACTCGAAGGTGGTGAGTGAGCAGAGGGGGCACCATTTAATGGACTGAAAGGCTTTAGAATTGCAGAGTGGGGGGGGGGGGGCAAGGGAAGCCACTGGACATAGACCACATCCTGGGCACTGGGCCAGGTGAACTAGACCCGCCATGTAGGTGCTTCCGTTCCCATCTGACAAGTGAGGCACATGAGGATGAAGGCCACTTGTCACACATTCCTCCACCACCCCGCCCTAGCCCCTTGGGCATATGGGACTAGAGTTTACTAAGGGACCGGTGAGAGATGTCCTTCCCTTCTCTTCCTTAGTCCAAGGTAGCCTCAGCCAGACTTTTTATATCAAACCTCTGGATAGCAAAAAGCTGAGGTGCTTTTCCTCTCTGAGCCTACCTCTTCAGGTAGGAGGGTTCCCTCTGCCCCACCCCAAGAGGAGGATGGTCACCTTTCCCCAGCCTGGGCAAGAGGGCACTAAGAAAAATGGCAAAATAACGACTAATAACAGTGGGCCTGAGAAATCCCTTCACCCACCGAGGGCTCAGCCAGGACTTGAGTGGGGGTAGGAGTGGCCAAGGGCAGCTGCAGCCTTCATTTCAAAAGTCACTCATCAAATGCCCACCACACTGTGTGGGGACCAGGCTCTGGGCACCCACTCCTTCCTCCCTCGCACAGCCCCGCCCCCCCCCCAGGGGCCTGCTATGGTCACCTCAGACTCAAGGGGCACCCCTGCCATCCCAGGCCAGAGCAGTGTGTCACACACTTCAGAGGTGTGTCTCCCTGTCCCACAGTCCCTGAATCCTTGAGTCCTGGAGAAGTCCCTTTTCCCACAGGCCCCTGCCCTGAATATGTGAGGCTGGCTTTGGAGAGAACCAAGGAGCCCTCCCAGGCCCCAGAGGGAGAGCGTGTGTGTGCCCTCCCCACCCCACAGTGGTAGCAGAAAGAGCAGTGGTAGCAGAGGGGGGAGGGGAGGGGAGGGAATCCTACTTTAAAAGCAGGTTGGTCAGAGGCCGGGCCCTGTGTTACCTTTCAAGTTCCTGAGCTGCCCAGGGGCCCTCAGCAAGCACTCAGGCTGCTGGCTTGATTTCACAGAAGCCCTGGCCTCCCACAAGCCTCCCTCCACGGTGTCTGGGCGGCCCTTCTCCTGAGTGCAGTGCTGGACACTGACACTTCCCTGCATGACAAGGAAGGGTTCTTGGGCTTTCAGGTGCGGGGCCTGGAGAAGGGCCTCCTGTGCAGGGGTCACAATGGCCGCATTATGGAGAGCCTCAGAGCCAGTCCCCAGCCAGGGCCCCAGCCAGCTCAGTCCAGGCTTTGCTTCTCTGTGGTGATTTGAAAGGAGCTGCCATTGTTGGCTCCCTGGGGATGAATGCCAGAGCTCAGCGGGGCGCCGGGAGTGCTCCAGGACAGGCCTCTGAAGCTCAGAGAAGTAAAGTAACTTACTCCAGGCCACATGGCTGAGCCTGGCCCTTGTGGTTTCCAAGGCCCCACTCCTTCTATGTTGCCTCCACAGATGCCCCCGGCCCCACCCCGTGCGAAAGGCCAGGAGGAGGAAGCAGAGGGGGCCAGGAGGGCCTGGGGGTGGGCAACGGAGGTGGGAACCCAGCCCTCTCCAGGCTGAGGTGCACCTTGCCCGGAAAAGACCAGTGTTTAGGCCCTGGGGGGCACCTGACCCGCAGTCTAATTGACCTCTAATGTGAGCTGCCCCTCCTTGGGTGACTGAGCCTGCCTTTTCTGGTGCAAAGAGAAAAAGAGGGAGAGAGCAAGAAGCAAGTGTGGGCAGCTGTCCATCAGCCAGGCCTAGCAATTGGTTTGAAGACTCCTATGGCGCCCAGCAGGGGTTGACCCTACCAGGACGCTGCTGACTCATTTGCCAGAGGGTTGACTCTGAGTCTGGCAGGAGCTTAGCAGGGAAGCACTGTCTGCCCCGAGATTTGACTTAGAGATTTGACTTAGCCATGCGTCCCCTGTGGTCTCAGCTCTGCCCACCCCCAATCTTGGGAACCAAAACATTCCTCCAGAAGGCAGAAGAAGAGTTGTAGGCCTCTCCCATGAGTCACTGCAGGGCGAGAGGGGTGGAGGCAACGTGGAAGGAGTGGGGCCTTGGAAACCACAAGGGCCAGGCTCAGCCATGTGGCTGGAGTACGTTACT